TCGAATTATGCCTACTCCTAATCTCTCATTTATTGATGTATGTGGAGGTACTGGCGACATTGCTTTGCGTATTGCCAAGTTTTCAAAAAATCTTGAAGACCCCAATGGCCCTAGCATGCCACGGATTACTGTTTGCGATATCAATAGATCCATGATTGAAGTTGGGAAGGAAAAAGCTGCTCAAGCTGGCTTAACTGGAAGTGGGTTTTCGTCTTTTATTTTACAGTATCTATTTAGTTAACTGGGTTCAGGGAAATGCTGAATGTTTGCCTTTCGAAGACAATCAGTTTGATGTTTATACAGCCGCTTTTGGGATAAGAAACTGCACTCACGTGGACAAGGTTCTCTCCGAGGCTTATCGGGTTTTGAAACCTGGTGGTCGATTTTTCTGTCTCGAATTCAGTCGCGTTAACAATTTTTTTCTCCGAACGTGAGTTATTTTTCATCAAATTACCCCCATCTGCTTAAATAAATAAGGTAGCTTACTGTCTTACTTTTTTAAGTATGTATGACGCTTATTCGATGCAAGTAATCCCCATTATTGGCAAGGTGATTGCCAACGATTGGCATTCCTACCGGTACTTGGTTGAGAGTATCCGTCGGTTTCCTAATCAAGTTGAATACGCTTGTATGATTGAAGATGCCGGTTTCCGAAGTGTACAATACACAAATTATACATTCGGTGTCGCTGCTGTGCATAGTGGAATCAAGTAGATTTTCCATCTGTTTATATTACCTTTTGTAATAAAACAAGTAGATGTATATCATACCTCGATTTATGCTTTCAATTTGCTTTGAATTGGTTTTTTACCTCCGCTGGTACTGCAATGTTTCACAGTTTCAAAAAGCTCATCCATGTGACATTATAGACGGGGTCCACATTAGTAGGAACGCGTTAAGGCCCTCGTTTCGTTTGAGCAAAATTGGTGGTGGCCAGTAAAGTGACCCTATTTTTTATGAAAGTATTTTGTTAATTTTCAGGCAAACTTTTGTTAGGCGTCAACCATGTCAAATTAGATAATTGGCTAGTCTGTGTGCTTTTTGTTTCACACATGAATATCCTTTATGGAAGGCTATTGCTCTAAGCCTCTAGTAATCTGCTGCATTTAGTGCGCTTAAATTCAAAATACAGCGTTCGAATCTGTTTGACGTAAACTTGAGGTCGGCGACAGTGTTGGTGGAGCAGAATAGATAATAGATCAAGAAAAATCGGGTAGACAATAAGGGATAGGAATAATTGAATGGGTTTGTCCGCACTCTGTTGAACAAGTATGAAAGTTTCTATTGAATCCGTTCTATGAGAATGTTAAGTTCCCAAAGAAGAGATGAAAATGATTATTTCAAATATTTAAGAAATATCAGTATTTGCCTTCATTGAAGATAGGGTACAGAGATCGATGAGACTTCAACCCAAATTGGAGGTGTTTCAAGAAGAATTTGTCTTTTATGGTAACAAAATATGAATGAATGTGATTGAAAACGCCAATTTGCCTATATGTAATCCTATGCATTCGGTACTATGCTAGACTTTTAAAGTATGCTTAAGTTGATTCTTCGCTTTTAAACGCATAATTTGGAAGAAAGCACATATTTCAAAGCGTAAAAGATGGCAAACCAAGGATATCCTATTGGGCCTCTTAAAACATCGCACTCTTATACTGATCAACTTATTCTTCTGTATATGTCTATCAAACTTTTGAACTGGATCATTTATCGTGTAAGCTAGTTTTCTAGCCTACCCAAATGTAGGAGCTCGTGATTCGAAAAGGGCTTGAATTAGCCAAGATGGAACCGTCACGAAAAGTAGAGCACACTGATTTGTGTATATCAGCTTATATTCAACAAGAGAGCGCGTCTGTTTTTTGAGGGTAATACAAGAGATGAGGGAGAGAGAAGATGAGTAGATAAAAGATTGGCGTTTGTCTGTGCGAGCATGTGAGTGGCAATACAAAGACAATCTATACGAGACACTCGGGCAAGTACGCGCTTGTTTGAAAGAATGTAGATGTATTTTTTTGAAAAAGGACGGTTATTGGAGGAATAGTTAAACTCATTAGGAAGAGATATATATGGGTTTTAGTCGCAGTGTCGTAATGACATCATTGGGGTTTAGTGGATCAGAAACTGATGCATTCACGTGGAGAACGTGATTAAACTGCAATTGTTTGAAATGCGTAAGCCTTCGCAAGAATTCTCCAACTCTCTTAGTAAAAGTAAATTTATGAAAACGGGGTTTGTTGAAGGACATTCAGGTGTGGGATTTCCATTTATAAATTTGCGAATAGTTATTTTTGTTATTAGCCAACAGTCCTGTTTCCCATTAACACCACTAATATAAGCTAGTAAATTCGCTTAACGGCTACAGGATTGAATAGGATAAGAAAATTATATACAGTAAGGATATAAGTGCAACATTTATGCCCGAATGAAGAGAAAATATATCAATTAATGGAAGAGGCGGATACAGATGGGTGTGAATTAGCAGTTCAGTTATAGGCAATCTTTATCTTTACCTTAAACGCCTATACCGGTTTGCTAAGCATGATCAAGTAAAATAATATATACGATCAATAGGCACTATAACTATACTTCAAATGAGATGTTACCAAATGGAAACTTGACAGAAAGACATATTGATAGACTATGTGAATAAAGCCCGATCTCAAACTAAGCAGTAAGCCATATCATGTATTTATTTTTTCACACTGAAACAATGAAATATTTTACTCATGTAATATTATGTACACTATATATTCATCTTACATCTTATTATAAAATTATAAAGCTATTTTAGTAAATTTACCAGTATGTAAAATAGCAAATATCAAATGCAAATGATATTACATCTAATTTTCATCTAATTAAGTTACGTGTGATAAACATACATGCCTTCGTTATAATTATTGACGTGGTATTGTTGACCTTAACCCATTTTGCAAATAACCGGGATGAGCGCACGTGCTTGCAAATACCGCTACCAAATCTGTAACCCGAATTCCGAAGAGCCTGTCGCTGATCCTCATGACATTATCTCAAATTCAAATAAAATTTTTGAGTGTGTTTTAAGCGCTCTTTGTTGCATGAACGAAGGAGGAAGTAAGCTTACTTACAGGTTAGGTTCTCTCTCGATTACCTTCATCAAGGTATATTGGTACATTATAACTCGATTTTCTCTGTTTAGGGCTTTTCTTAAACTCAAAAACGGCGAGCATGTGTCATACCAGCCTGGTGAATCTATTTCGATTTATGCCCATAACAGCGAGACCGATGTCTCCTGGGTTTTGGAGCGAATGGGTGGAGATTTGCAACCCGACCAGGTGGTGGTTCTCAAACAAAACGCATCACCCCGTAGAGCTATCGCAAGTGGTCCTCCAGTTGATAAAGCGGTCACTCCAAGACTACTCATTCGCCACTTTCTGGAAATCCATACTCCCGTCTCTCGTAAAACTGTCCAACTTCTTGCTCCCCATTGTACAAAAGATGAAGAGAAAGACTTATTATTGAAAATTAGCGGACGTGACGGGACAAAACTTTATAATGAGTAATTTAATTCTTTATTCAACTATTTACATTTGTGCCCTTTTTGCCTACCTAATCTTGTCATTATTAGATTGATAAGAAACACCTCTGCAACGTTAATGGATCTTCTTGCCACATTTGAAAGCTGTCATCCTGATTTAACTACTATTTTGGAAGTTTGCCCTCCCTTTGTTGCCCGCCAATATTCTCTTATTGACGAATGCAACGAAGCTACTCCTCAAGAACTCAATTTTGCGTTTTCAAATGTGGATTTCCCCGACGTTTCTTCTAACCATAACATGATTATTGAAGGCATCACATTCAAACGATATACTCGCAAAACGGGGGTTTCCACGGGTTTCATCCATAAGCTCTGGGAAGAGAAGCTTAAATGTGATTATATTCCTCGGATTTATATTTCCTTTCGCACAAGTCTGAACGGTTTCGCTCATCCCGAAAGAGTTTCCGATCCGCTTATCATGATTAGTGCTGGAACGGGAATAGCTCCCTTTATTGGATTTTTACAACAAAGACGTCGGTCTAAACAACAGTTTTCCCAAGTTGGAGAGTCATGGCTCTTCTTTGGTTGCCGTGATCCTAATTACGATCTGTTGTTTGCAGAAGAACTGGCTGGATTTCTCGAGGACTCAACTCTGACGCATATTTGCCTCTGCTTTTCTAGATATTCGGGTGACCTCCCTTCCAAGCTACCAGCAATTCTTCGATCCAGGGCGATTGTTCCTCCCGATTGTAAATATGTACAGGATTGCATAGCTTCGTCTTGTAATTTAAAGAATTCTGTGGAGGATATTGCTGATAAGCTGGAAAGAGTCAAGTTAGATAATTCGTTACCTAACGAGTTCGTTATTTCTGCTAAAATGATGCAACTCGTTTGTGAAAATGGAGGTCGTGTTAGGGTAAGTAAATCTGAAAGCTTCCTATTCTTTTCTTTAATTCATCTTGTATTCATGTTATAGTTTAGAAATTTTTTCCTTTGCAAACAATCAAACCAGGCTTTTGCTAAGTGTTCATGGCATAAAAATACTGTTAGTATTTATGTATGCGATCAATTAACACATTTCATTTGATATGTTAAATAAGTCTCTATTATACTGACTTTAATAATTTTTCGTCCTTTTCTCTATCGATTGATTTTGATTTTCCTGCATTCTTTACGTCTAAAGCAATTCAATAAAATCTGCTTTCATTATCACTCCTTCAATGTTTAATGTACCGTGGCCATTTAGAAGGCACAATTATTGTTATGCGTTCTTTAATTAGAAATTCAAGTTTCTTTTTAAAATTTGCCATTGCAAGCACCTATAGGCTTTGTGCTTCAGTGTTCAAGTATTATGGTATTGATTTTATGTCGATATTGCTTTTCTATTAACAGCACTCCTCTTAATCCGCCTGAGAATTCAAAATGAATATCTGGTTCACTTGATAATGTAATTATAATAAATTATTGTTTTCACATAACCCAGAAGCCCCTTTAGGAAGGCACTTTCCAAAGCTCATCATGAGTAAATAATTAGCATCAACGACATCACGAGTTTCTATGGTAGTAAGCAACATTTCTATCACCCTCTATGTTAAATTAACTTGATTGGCATCGCGTTAGCCACTGCATTTACTGGGTGTGCACTAATGGTCATCGGATATATGACCCCTGGCTTCGCTTACGTGAGCTCATGTTTTTCAGTTTGGCGTGTTTCATCGTCGCCTTGATTAAGGATTCCGGATTTATAATTACCCGTCTGGTGCAAGCAGCTAACTTAATGTTCTGGCATAGTGTTTAAACAGTGGAGTGTTATTGTAAAGACTAATAATCACACCAGACGCTGCATTGCATGTCAAAATGGTCGGTAGGACATATAAAACCATATTGGCCCAGCAATTGACTGTTCTCTGATTTGGCGTTAACGCAATTGTTTGTTAAATAGGTGTTGGGCCATAATCTTGTTCCGTTGCTTTCATTGGTAATTTTCCTGCACCCTATTTAACAATGCAATTTAAAACAATTGAGTTTTCTGATTCAGTTTTCAGACAACGGAACATTAATCTATGGTGAATACTACCCCGGTCTTTTGATTCATTGCAGGTATTTGCCATTGCAAGCAACTGAACTGGTCATATAGTTCA